CACAGTAGTCAAAATAGGATGCGCCATTACGTCAAATGTGGGGCCTACCAAGCCGGGTGTATCTTAACAGCATTGTCCAAAGTGCTTTGGAGAGGCAGGGCAGATGCTTACGCTCACAGGTGGCAAGTGAATAAAGATCTGCAATATCATGCTTAAAGCAAACAGAAATCATTGGATCCTTCCAGCCAAAGCTCAGCCCACAAATGCAACGTGAAACCGCGTCACTATTGAGAAATAAGAAAAATGTTTTTGTGAAGGCGTATCTGCTACAGCTCTGGCTTGCTAAAGTAAGAGTGTCATCGTCTTGAGCTTTGACACACTTCAGCAGGGTGGGTTTTAAGACAGAGGCAACTGTGATCAAAGCTGTAACACTGAAATAGCTCCTGATGAAGAATGCAAGTATTTCATCTAGCAGGGCTTGTATTTCTGTCAGTAACTGTACGGAAAGGGGGAACGCTTTGCTTGTCGCTGTCTTGGGATCTGCTTCTCAAGCAGGCTTACAACCACGGTGTCCTCTAGGCCCTCACGTTTAGACTCTCTGAAGCTTGCAGATTCTTTCTGCAGAGTATCTTTGGGGCGGCCTTTCCCCCAATAAAACGCTTGTTCAGCTGCTCAGCAGCTTAGATTACTGCTACTGTTCTGAATGCTGCCACGGGGGTATTCTCCCAGCTGGTTGCTGCTCCCTTGGCTCCCCTTCTCCATTGGTTCAAGCCACAAGCTGCTCGTCTTGTAGCTCCCTGTCCTCTCTGTCACAATCAAAATGTTGACTCTTGCCTCCAGTCAGCACCATCCCTCTGTTAAATGTTTAAAGTTGGCGCCCTGGTGATTTCTCCCATAGGCCACCCGGACACATTCTAAGCCACTTCTCTGGGAACTGGTCTAAACCTAGATCACTGGAGCCCTAGTCATGAACCAGATAACTGTCAAGTGTAGGCAGAGCTTTTGGGGGCTGACAGGCATGGTCTCACCCTAACAGCTATCAGCCATGCATCACTCTTGTCACATCTTGCTGGCTTCTGTTCTCCCGCTAAGCCGGGGTCAAGAACCTTTTCTGGGTCGGGGCCCCTGACCTACAAAAAAAAAATCGGTCGGGGGTTGCCCACCAGAATTCAGGGGGGCCTAGGCTAGTAGATTTTGTGGGCTCCCCCCAGCTCTGGGATGGGACCAAAATTGAGGGGTTCAGTGTGTGGGAGAGGGCTGCTGGGGATGAGGGTTCTGAGCTGGAAGGGGGTGCAGGAGCAAAGTGAGGGTGGATGGTGTGGGCAGGAGGTAGGGTGCAGGAGCAAAGTGGGGGTGTGAGTTGGCAGGAGGGGTGCAGAAGCCGTCTGGGAGTTGGAGAGTCTGGGCAGGGCTGAGGGGGAGCCCCAAGCCTCGGGGGCTGGATCCAGGCAAGCTGGGGGCCACATCTTGTCCCCAGGCCTTAGGTTCCCTATCTCTGGATTAGGTAATAAAGACCTCGCTCAAATTCAGGGCTAAATCCTGCTCCCATTGACATCTATAACAACCCCTGGGCCCAAGGTCCTCTCTCCAGGCTGGCTTTCTGCTTCCACTTTCCCCTCCTTCCCCCTCCTCTGCTCCCACCTGGCTTCATGCTTAATTCACAAACAGAGATTGGATGCTGACAAGAAACACGGGGAACAAATTGAAGACCTGACCCTCCCTTCCCCCCCTCTCATTTAGCTCCTTCTAACACACACAAGGTCTCTTAGCTTTTGCCCCCCTTGTGTGGCAGGGGAGTCCTGCGGGGTACGAGGTTTGTTGACTTATGCAACGCCTGGGGCAGGCCTCAGAGGTTGTAAAGCTCCTTTGTTGTGTGGTAATGATGCAGGATCTAGTGAGTCAGTGACTCTGGCATTACATCAGCTGGCAGCTCTGTCCTCCCTGGAATCTGCCGCCTGTCACCTTTGATCAGTTTCCTCAACTTCATTCTTGTCTCTACATTTTGGAACATCCGGCGTGTTCTGCAGTGGAGAATTCCCTGCACTAGGGGGGCAGCCAGGGCCCTTGTAAGTCAGGATTGAGGTGGAATGGCTGGAAAATCAACTACAGGTTGGACCTCCCTGGTCTGGCACTGCTGGGGTCTGATGGGTCCCGAACCAGGAATTTTGCCGGACCAGAGGTCAGGGCTCTCCCAGGGCTGCTGGCCTCCCAGCTGGCTTCCCTCCAGGCTGTCTCCCTGCTCTGGCCCACAGCAGCTGCCAGCTGGGCTGTGTTTCTGGCCCCCTGCCCTCCTGCCCCCCACCGGCTGCTGGGCTGCCTACTCCCAGAGGCTGAGCTCTGCTTCCAGCCACTTGCTGGACTCCCACCTGACAACTGCTGGGGCTCTCTGATCCGACAGCATCGGATGTTGTCAGACCAGAGAGTCCAGGATAAGAGAGGGTCAGTGGTGGTTGTCCGAGAAAGGAGGATGCTCCTATAGAGACTCCCTCACCTTGATGGTCTGTCTCCAGATTTCCTGCATCAATTAATCTGCTCTCACCCTCCTGTTCAACAGATCGCTGTTTGGGTTGCAGCTAAGAACTAGTCCCCAGTCTTTGGCTATAGACGATATTGTGGAAGAACTCCCAACTTTAGCGAATCCGTTGTGATCTCCAATGGTCAGTGACTTTTCTCTCAGTTCAATCTCAAACCCCGGGTGGAATTTTTTCTTATCGCCTTTCTCATAACACTATTCCAGCCAGCACAATAACTTATCTCTGGCTGCAGGGAAAAACAAATAGCCTATGCCTGTACTTTGGAAATGGGAAAATATGTTGAAGATGTGTTTCTCGGAACAAAGCAATACGTTCATCACTGAAGAGTGCATTCATCCTGTGCCGAAAAAACCATCGGTGCAAACTGATCAAAGGACGAAATTCCATGAACTTTTCAGGACTTGTGTGTCAGGGTCAGGTTTGTACGTCGGACTGTGTTGGAACTGATTCTGCAGTCCAAGTCTGGAGAGTGAGCTCTTTTTCTGATCGGCCTTGACCAATGCGAAAAGCAGCAAGGCTTTCACCTTGCAGGAAGCATTTTAGCCTCTGGATTTTCAGCTGTTCCCACACCGCTTTCTGTCAAGCGCAATTACTCAGTTTATGGTTGACTTCCCTGGCTGACTTGGAATAACTTCAGTTAAGAATTCACTTGTCCGGGAAAATGTGCAGAGTGTTTGTTTTGCAAAGTGAGCTCCCATAAACCAAGATGAGGAGGAAGGGTCATTAGAGAGATGCCGTTCAACAGGAACTACGCTTCAGAGGGGTAGGCGAGTTAGTCTGTTTGGCAAAAACAGCGAGGGTCCTATGGCACCTTAAAAGAGTGGTTCCCAACTGTCGGACCTCTGGTTGATGGGCCACAGCGGTCTCCACAGCTGTTGGGAGAGGCGTGTCCTGCCCCGCCTCTCAGCCAACCAGCACCAGGCAGGGGAGGGGTCTCCTCCCAGCCTCAGAAAAGCACTTCTCTTTGCGGCCTTCCAGCATTTTGCACAGCTGGAGTTGCATCTCTTAAGCCGACCTTCCTGGTCTAGTGTAGACCAGACCTTAGTGTCTTGCCATGGGGTCTAAATTCCAGTGGGGATTTTTAGAGCAAATGTGTTAGACTGCAAGGCGTCTTCTGTGCTCTGGACGCTGGCTCTTCGGCTGTATTCTGACCACAGCAGTAAATGTGAACACTGGAATGACTAGGTCTGCTTTCACGACTATCAGGGTATCGGAGTGCTTAAGAGCAGCCAGGCAGTGCAAAGTCTGCACATGGCATCCGAACAGCAGCATTAGGGAGGGAGTGAATACACATCTGTGCTCTGCCAGGGGATTAAGAGAGGCCCTGTTCTAGCTGCTGTTCTGTCTGTTGTAGCCGTCTTGCGGGCTGACCCAGGAAGGCATGTAGCTGGGTGACAATTTTAGGATTTCATTGAAGTATGTACAGGTGGGATCTCCCTGGTCCGGCATCCTCGGGACCTGAGCGGTCCCGAACCATGGAGTTTGCGGGACCAGGGGAAGGTCGAGGCTTCGCTCCCCCACTGTCCCCAGCCTTTTTTGGGTTGCACAGTGCTGGGAGCACCAGGCCCTGCTGTCTCCAGCCTGGCCCAGGCTACGTTCCCTGCTGCCTCTGGGCTGGACCAGGCTGTGCTCCCCACTGCGCCGGCCTGGGTGAGGCTGCACTCCTGGGCGCTAGCCCCACAGCGTGCAGCCTAGGAGTGGCTGCAGTCCCCTCGGCACCGCTAGCCCCTGAACCTGGCCAGCCTGGGCTCTCTGATCCAGCCATATCCGTGATCCTGCCAGACCCCAAATGTTGCTGGACCAGAGAATCCCGGATTTTAGAGGCTTAACTTGTATCTGATTGATATCCAGTCCAACTACAGTAAAACTCCATTAATCCAGCATCCAATGCTCCGGGACTCCTGATGGTCCGGCACCATCAGGAACCCGGAAGTGCTGGGGCAGCCGGACAGGCTTCCCCCATTCAGCTGCTGCTGAAACTGGCCAGCAGCTGAATCAGGGAAGCCGGAAGCAGAGCAGCTGGGGTGCTGCCAGGTTGGTCTTGTAGCGCTGCCCCTCGGGGCTGCGGGACCAACCCGGCAGCACTCCAGCTGCTCTGCCCCAGGGGTCCCCGATTCAGCCACTGCTGAAACAGATCAGCGGCTGATTCCAGGAAGCCAGGGGCAGAGCAGCTAGATCAGAGAATCCTGGTTTAGAGAGGTTCAGGTCAGATTATGGGGCTCTAATGCCACATTTAAACACCTAAATGTTAGGGATGCGAATGTTTAACCAGTTGACCGGTGAGCCTCACCCTTAATAGGGATGCTGGAGCACCCCCTGCCAGCCCCTCTCCCCCGTCCTTTGGTGCTGCGGGACCAACCCGGCAGCACTCCAGCTGCTCTGCCCCAGGCGTCCCCAAGTCAGCCGTTGCTGAAACAGATCAGCGGCTGATTCCAGGAAGCCAGGGGCAGAGCAGCTAGATCAGAGAATCCTGGTTTAGAGAGGTTCAGGTCAGATTATGGGGCTCTAATGCCACATTTAAACACCTAAATGTTAGCAGCACTTCCGGGTTCCTGATGGTGCTCCCTGGCTTAATCAATTAACCGGATAAGCAATTAAACGGGATATTGCATCCCTAATACACGTCCCGGCGAATGGAATTCTTGTTGTGTTGGTAGGTTGTACCTGTGCGTAACAATCCTCTGGGTTGCATCCCTTCTAGTTCTTTGCAACCTAACTTGCTCTACAACCTAGTTCTAGACCAGGGGCGAGGAACCGTTTTCGGGCCGGGGGCCGCTGACCCACAGAAAAATCAGTCAAAGGCCGCGTACCTGTGAGAAGCCCGACTCCCCTCCCCCCCCATTCCCCTCTCACACCAGAGCCTGGGAGAGGCCCAGACTAGTAGAGTTTGTGTGCGCCAGCCCTGCGCGGGGGGTGGCCTCCCCAGTGTGGGGGGTGGAGATCCCTGAGGCTTGGGGGCTGGATCCACGTAGGCCGGGGTCCGCATCCAGACAATTATGGATCCTTCAGCCTGAGTTCCCTCAACCAGACTCTCTCCTCAAGGGAGGGATTGGCCCATGCTGCCTCGGTTACTGTCGGGTCTTTGTGATCGCTGCCTGTGGCTTGCACTGTTTTCTGCTGAGTTCTTGTGGGGGAGCAGGGAGCAGGGGAAACCATGTCTACGCACAGTGCCAAAACGGCAGCAGTGTAATAAACTCCAACGTGCGCTTGGTACCATGGTCTTTATCCCCAGGAAAACATCCATCCGTGCCACGGGATGTGACCGTGCTCTCGCCTGTGTCTTTATAGACCAGTGTTTCGTAAACTTTTTAAGACAGAGGAACGCCCAACCATTTTTTTTATGAGGAACACCAAAGATTTTTTTGTTGAGCCAAAAAAAAAAAGATTGGGGGG